CAGCGACTCCCACCCGGTAGCCTCACCGGCCTCCCAGGTTGGGCAGATTAAGTGGTTGCCAGGAGAGTTTAACGGGGGGAGCCTATACTTGGGGATTGTTACTGGTTCCCAGGCTGTTTTCTTTGTTAACAAATCTCAGACAATGAAAGTCATTTCAAATTTAAAGGGCAAACTTGGACTAAATACACATAAACCGTGCCTTAAAAACAGAACAAGATTAAGTCAGACTAATCAGAAAAAAAAAAAAAAACTACATGCAGCATCACGGCAGGAAAGAGGTCTCTATACACAAACATTAATCAAAGAAAACACAAGTATTCCTATAGGAAAATGGGGGAAAGGATACCGCAATTCCCAGAATTAAGGAGACATGAAATGCTCCTCTTTTCACGTTAGCTATCTCTGAGGCGGTTTCCTCACTAGCAGGTAGTGGCTTAAGCATAATACCTAGGGAGGCAGCTGTATAGTGCACAGCACAGTGCCAGGCACGAGGTGGGTGAGCCCTCGGCATGGTTGTTAGCATTGCACTGGCCTGGTTTCTCCACCCATCTAGTTGAAGGGGCCGACTGCGTGGGCTGTAGGGGCCTTGCCCTCCTACTCGCAGGATTTTCCCACTCTACTAGAGGCCCTGTACAAGAACTGCATTTGGGGGTGGGGCAAAAATATCAAAGCATGGTGTGGAATGGATTAGTGCAGAGGACCCTAGGGAGGTAACGGGAACACAGAGAGTGCTTTTAGCCCTGACAGGTGATTTCTTCAAAGGCGGCAACATTTGGGTTGAGATCTGCAGGGAATTAGGAGTCAGGGAAAGGGTAGAAATCTTGGGGAAGGAGATTATAAAGGCATAGACAATAAATCAGGATATCTTCTAGGGTAGGGAAAGACAGCAGGAGGTCTTCAAATGGGCCATAGAAGCTACAGTCTCTTGTAAAACTGGTGAGAATTTTACAAGGCTTCAGTGTGATAAGACCTAGTATTCCCACAGGCTGGACTCTAAGCTACATTTCAACCTTATAAAAACTGTGAGTAGGGATATTATCCATACACTCTGAATTTGCAGCCAGATGTTTGAATGCAGAGCCAGAACCCTTAACCCAGTGGTAGTGAACCTATGGCAAGCTCGCTGCAGCAGCTGTTACATTCTAAGAGTTCTAAAAGGTTGGCCATCACTGCCTTAACTTCCATAGCAATATTTCCTTAATTCACTTTGATACTTTTGAGTCCTGTGGTCTGTATAGGAAGTTTAGTTTAACTTGTTATCTGTATGTTACTTAACTTGTTGCGCGTGTATTATTTACTAAAGTTATACTGCTATATTTTATATTTACAGCAAATCCAGAGCAACTTTATTGTTGTCATACATCCAGGCTCAACAACGTTAAGAATTGGTCGAGCCACAGACACGCTCCCTGCCAGCATTCCTCATGTCATTGCACGGAGACACAAGCAACAAGGCCAGCCTCTGTACAAGGACAACTGGCTCCTAAGGGAGGGACTGAATGTAAGTCGGAAATGGAGGTGCTGGAGACTAAGCCCAAAGTTGTGTCCTTGGGAAAGCTTAGACACTCAGGTGTACCTAGGAGTCAACATCTGCGTATTTTTACCATGTTTTTAAATAACAATGTCATTCAGCACATTTCATTTGTCATCTAAGGCTGTTTTAGATTTTTTTTTAACTCGTTACAACAAAAGTAAATCCCGTTCTTTAACCCACCAGGATTAATGTTGGTGTTAACAAAGGTAATCTTTAATGAAAGATACCGAATGGCATTCACTTAAAGTGATACGTCCAGGTCTTTATTAATAAACAGCTAGATTTTCTTCCAGATGTGTGTGTGTGTGTGTGTAGTATTTATGTAGTTTAAATAAAGCTCATTTTCAGTTCATTAGCAAATTGAATTGCTATAATAAGCACATACTAAAATTTTACATCAAACCATAATTTCAAGCCAAAAGAATATATTTCTTTTCAGTAAGCATTCACTCATCTTAATTTTGCAGGTGGTTATGGTTAGAAAAAAAAATTGTGATAGGTGTTCAATCTGTATATTGCATTACGGTTCACATCTGGCTTTTGAGTTTTAAATCAAGGACAGTTTTAAGAATTTAAGAGTTTTATTGCTGGGCATGTTGGTGCATGCTTATAATCCCAACACTTGCGAGGCTGAGGCAGGAGGATTGCCACAAAGGCTAGCCTGGGCTACATAGTAGTTCAAGGCCAGTTCAAACTACATAGCAAGACCCTGTGGCAAAAAGAATTTTTATAACTGTGATAGTAAACTTTGGGATTCTGTCCGTAGTTAGCACTCTTCTGAAGTCTCGTTGTAAGCTTCAGAACAATATGCCAATATAAGAGCCTGCAGTATCACAGTAACTTCAATACTTGTTAATTAAAGTAAAATATACAAGTATGGTAAAAAATAGAGTGAATGTGTAATCATATATAGTAAAAGACACACTGCTATAATCTCCCTCAGAATACTCCCCCCTCACTTCAAACATAACTTATTTCTCCATTCTTGCCACTTTTTATCAGTTCTAGAAATTCTTTTTCAAGTTTTCAGTTGTGCTGCTGTAGCTGCTGTGATGTAAGGGATAGATTCAAACTGTTTATCTTTCGTGATCATTTTGACTTTGGGGAAGAGCTGTAAGGTGCTCAGTGTCATATCTGGTATAAGACAGATGAGGACGTGCCCTAATGTTTTGTGAGCCTGCCTTTCTGTTGAATGGCACTCAGCAGCAACATTCACCGTACCTTTGATCACACTTGTAAATTCAGGGACGACTTCAGAGCTGCTTCAGAAAATGGCAAGAATGTTGGGATGGGCCGGGTGTGGTGGTGATGCCTATAATCGCAGCAGCCGAGGCAGGAGGGTCACCGCAAGTGCAAGTTGAAGTCCAGCCTAAGCTACACGGGAAGCTCAAGTCTAGTCTGAACTACAAAAACAACAAACAAAAAATGATGGAGTAACTGTGTTCAAAGCAAAGGAGCGTGTTTTGAGGTGCACTGATGGCCGTATGTCTTCTGTAATACAGTTTTTTAACCTTACGTATCCACCATGTTTTTCGTGTGAAGACATTGTTAAACTAATAGATGCATGGAAGTCTTTGAAGTGCTTTGTAAATCACTTGAGGTTATAGATTTCTTGCAAGTAGTTGGTTTTAGCCAGAACTCCATTTTGACTTTTTAGTTTATAACAGAGGGTTATCGCTTCTCGGCCTTTTGGCTAAGATCAAGTGTAGTATAACAGAGGGTTTCCTGGTTTTCTGTTGTTTTTTGCAGTGCTAGGGATTGAACTCGGCCTAGTAGAGAGGCAAGTACTCCACTTCTGAGCTATCCTTAGCCCTATTTAAAATTCTGAAATTCTTAAGATTACTATATTTGACAGAGATTAAGGATTGCTATTTGATGAGTGAACACTTTCTAATGATGTATTAAATTGACAGCATGTCATATTGCTTTCTCTTTTAACTGAATCCTTTACCCTGCCCTCCCCAGAAACCCGAGAGTAACGAACAAAGACAAAATGGCCTTAAAATGGTGGATCAAGCAATATGGTCTAAAAAGATGTCAAATGGTACAAGACGGATTCCTGTGTCTCCTGAACAGGTTCAATTAACTTTTTCCTCAGCTTTATCCTTTTTCCACCTCTTAGAGTATACAGTCATGTGTTGCTTAATGATGGGGACACATAGTGAGTACATCACTGATGTAGCCTCTGGACACCTAGGCTACACCTTACAGCATAAAACTCATAGGCTACAAACTACTGAATTATGTCGGCAGTTGTAGCACAGTAGTATTAATGTACCTAAACATTAAAAAGAGAATATAAAAGAGAAAGAATGGCACATGTCTGTAGAGCACCTAACATGAATATAGTTCCTGTAGCTGGGAGTTGCCTCAGTGAATATAAAGGCCTAGCACATTACTGTCCACCACTATGAACTCTACAGATACTGTGCACTTACGGCACACTGCGTTTACTTAATTTCTCTTTCTTTAAAAATAAATTAACCTAGCCAGGTGTGGTGTTGCACACCTGTACTCCCAACACTCAGGAGGCTGAGGCAGGAGGATTGCTCTGAGTTCAAGACCAGCCTGGGCTACATAGTGAGCTCCAGGTCAGTCTCAACTACATAGTGAGACCCTGTCTCAAAAAACAAACAAACAAATAAATAAATTAGCCTATGTTTACTGAAAATATTTTACTTTATAAACTAAAATTTTTAAAAACCTTTCACTATTTTGAAATAACATTTAGCATTTTTCCCCACTTTTGAATTTTTTTGTAAAAACTGAAATACCACCTTAGCTATGTCTGCAGTGGCTGCTGTTTTCCACCTCCACATCTGTCCCTCCAGGAGATCTTTGTGAGCAGCAGTGCACGGAGCTGTGGTTTTCTCTGGTAACAGTATTCTTCTAGAATACTTCTTAGAGGACCTTGCTCCATTTGGTTTAACAAATTAACTTTAAGAAAATATGTATGTAGAAGAAATAATTTCCAAAATAAAGATTAAAAAGTATATTGAGTTTACAAGCTGGTAATAGTTGATTGCTGCTGGTATCAAGGATTATGCACTGTACACAATTGTATGTACAGTATCTGCATATGACAGGCAGTGCAGCAGGTTGGTTTGTACCAGGAACACTGCAGAGAGGTTAGTAATGCTTGTGCCATGTCTTCTTGGTAGGTAATCAGTATTTTTCAGCTCTACATCATAATCTTGGGACCCTGTTGTACACACAGTCTGTCATTGACCAAAATGTCTTGTCCCACATGACTGTAATACCATTTACGTGTTTTCTCCATGTCATTATGCAAATACAAGTTAGGATTTCCTTTAAAAAAAAAACCCTTCATAATTATAGTATACCTGGAAGAGAGCAGGAGGAGGTGGTGGCGGCGGTGGTGGGCAAATGGCTCCTCCTCCTACCAAACGCAAGGACCCTTCCGTTAGAAGTCCAAGGATTGCTGTAAAGACAAGGGGGCCACCAAGGAATCTAGTGAGAAGGACGTGGCAGGCATCAGACCCGGAAGAGGTGGAGTGCTTCCTTTGGAAGCAGCAGCACCAGGTCTCAGTCCAGCTCCCCTCGAGTGCAGGCTCTAGCCCCAGCACAGGCTCAGGCAGTGGCTCCAGTTCCGCTTCAGCATCCAGCCGTTCTGCAAGCTCTAGTACATGCCGCGGCTCTCGTTCCAGCAGCTCCCCGGGCTCCCCAAGCCCTTCATGGTGCAAACATGACAACAGCCGGTGCTCCCGCTCCAAATCCAAACCACCTAAAAGAGATGAAAAGGAGAAGAAGAGGCGAGGCCCTGCCCCTAAACCCGCCAAAGTAGACATCGGGAGGCTTCCGGAATGTGGCTAAGGATCACATGGTGAAGATGTTTCCACCTATGGGAAGATTAAAATGACTGACTATGCCTGTAGGAAGGACGCAGCCTCATCTATCAACTGCTTTGCAGATATGGAGTTTGAGAATCCAGAGGAAGCCGAGAAGGTCCTGAAGCACATGGATGGAGGACAAATCGGTGGTCAGGAGATCACTGCTACTGCCGTGCTGCACCCCTGGCCTAGGCCGCTGCCCCGGCGATTGAGCCTCCCAGGAGAATGCTCCCACCACCACCCAGGTGGCGCGGGTCACCCCCATGGGTGAGGAGGAGGGCACACTCCCCGAGGCGCAGGGCCCCTCCCTGTACGCAGGCGGTCCGTTCTCCTGGCCGCCGCCGCCGTAGAAGCCGCCCTAGCTCCAGCTCTTCCCGATAGACAAGCCTGCCGAAGCTCGCTCCTCTTTAGTCCACTCGGCTCAGTCTTGTCTCTCCTCTAAAACAATGAGGAGCAGTAGGAGAGGACCCTCGGTCAGGCGGCTTCGGAGGCAGCGGTGCAGACACTTGTTCTTCAGGCGGGTTCTGGCTGCAGAAGTGCTCTTGGTCCGGGCTGTGCCCACAGAGGCACCCTGCACTTTTCTGTCTAAAAGCTCACCATTCACATCTCATGAGTCTGTGCAGCGGCTGCGTCTGTAGGAATGAGCAAGCCTGCAGGTGGCAGGATGTGCCAACCTTTCCAGACGACTTGGTGATCTGCTCTTACCTTGGGACCAACCCACCACTCCCATTAGGCCTGGCCCCCTGATCCCTGCTTGAGTCCTCTTCCTGCCTCTGGGATCAAACACCCTAGAAAGACTCCCCCTGCCCTGTGTTAGTTGTCATGACGATTCTGTGTTCTCACCTATACACCCACCCCATTTGTCTTCTTTACTCTGAACTGTTGGTGAGCAGTTGGAGAGCCAGCTGTGCAGGTTGTCCTGGAGCCACCCATTTCACCTGCCATTCGTGCAGGTTACCTTGGCAACTGTACATTGCTTTTTCTTTGGCTTTTATTGTGCAGTCAGTGGTATAAAATTTGAGTTTTGTAACTTTATAGCATTTTAGATAAGGTTGTATTTGTACTTTGTTGTGTAGAGTAAAGGAATTATATTGAATAAACCGAGGATTAGAATGCAGATTGAAAAAAAAAAAATGATAGGATACCTGAATCAGTGTCACAAGTACTTAGATAAGCCAGAAAATGTGGACAGTTGTGTTTCTCAAGGGAAGTAAATGAAAATTTATGTTCATACCCGAGCCTATATCCCGGTTCCCATGATCGTGGTGGAAAGCTGTTTTCTTACTACGTCCTTAGTTTCATATGATGAATCAAAATAGACATGTCGGGCTGGGGATTTAGCTCAGTGGTGCCAGTTCCTGCCTCGCAATTGCAAGGTCCCTAGTTCAATCCCCGCTACCAAAAAAAAAAAAAAAAAAAACGTGTCATATATTTGCATTCAATTTGAAACAGAAGTACAGTTTTAATTTTGGATTGATAGTGAGTCACAGCCTAAGTGTTAAACTCATGGGAAATATCAAGATTGTGGAAAAGGACAAGAGAATCCTTTTGTGACCAGTCTGTGTTTTGCAAATATCTCAGATTTGTGGTTAGAAAATTTACTGCTGTGTCTACTCTATGAGTGAGGGAGGAGAGGGACTCTTATTGCCGCTCCCCTTGAATACGAAGGCCCCTTCTCCTTTCAGGCACGCTCCTACAACAAGCAGATGCGACCTGCGATTTTAGATCACTGTTCTGGAAATAAGTGGACAAACACATCTCATCATCCTGAGTATTTGGTAGGAGAAGAGGTAAGAAACTTCCTTAGAATAAATCAAAAGAGGAAAACCTGATGTTACTCCTAAATTTCACTTTGCTACACAGTTCTAGTTCTCTGTAATCCCACTTCGAAGCCCAGTATCCATACGGTGCCCTGAATTGCTGAATGCTCCCTGCAGCATCTAGAATGTTGAGAAAATGTTCATTTCTGGCCTTAAATTTTTGAGATGTGAATATAGAGAACCCTAAAAGAGTGGATTTTTTGTTTTTTCTTTTGAGGTGCTAGGAATTGAACCTAGGGCCTTCACACTGAGCAACACCCCCAGCCTGTTTTTATTTTTAAGACAATGTTTCATTGAGGTACAGAGTTGCCTAGGCTGAGCTCAAACTTGTGATCCTCCTGTCTCAGCTTCCCCTAAGTGCCGGGATTATAGGCTTGTGCCACCACCCCTACCTTATTTTTTTTTTTTGACAGAGGGTCTTGTCACTCTAGTGTGGGCTCCAATTTGTGATCCTCCTGCCTGAGAGTTTTAACAGTGTATTTGTCTTCTTCCCTTCCTTTTCTAGGCCTTGTATGTTAATCCGCTGGACTGTTACAATATTCACTGGCCCATCAGAAGAGGTCAGTTAAATATTCACCCTGGACCTGGGGGCTCCCTTACAGCTGTTCTGGCAGATATTGAAGTGATATGGTCTCATGCAATTCAAAAATACTTGGAAATCCCTCTGAAAGATTTAAAGGTGAGATAAAATGCTTGCTCAGTTACTTGGATTGTCTTAAAGATTCTTGGCCAGTGCACGTTTATGCTTCTGAGTTATTTGCAAGATAATGTCCTTATTGACGCAGTCTGCATTCTCGGTTGGGTGTTGAGGATAATTTTTCTTCACTTAATTCTTCAGTGGTTTCTGTCTGTCTTGTGCTGTTTCTTTGGTGTCTTTTACTATTGTTCCTAAATCAGTAAGTTCACGTATGCTTATGTATTCCCTCTGTTTATTTTTCAGACATATTACTTGTCTTACTTATCATTTTATAAATTGGGGGTGATTCCAGGTTGGGTGCAGGGGTAAATTCAGAGGATGGTACAGAGGTTTGAGCTTTACTCCAGGCCTTCCCCACAGCTTCAGCTTTTGTGGAGAGAAGCCTCCTTCAGCACAGGCATGGAAGGATTGGATTTGACTGCACTTGGGTATTAACCTTGGACTTGAATTTAACCTTTTTGTATTTTTTTCTTTCTTGTTCTTTTTAGTATTATAGGTGTATCTTATTAATTCCTGATATCTATAATAAACAGCATGTGAAAGAACTAGTGAATATGATACTAATGAAGATGGGTTTCTCAGGTATGTCTGATATTTGAATGAAACATTTGAAAAAAAATTTTTTTTATTTTTTTGTGGTGCTGGAGATCAAACCCAGGGCTTTTTGCACATGCTAGGCAACTGCTGTACCACTGAGCTACACCCCCAGCCCTGCAGTGAGACCTACTTTAAATGAAATTGTTTTTTTCTTTTTCGATGAGAGCGTTCACCTGATTCACTGGTATAGGTAAATGCTTATTCTGAAAGGCTAGTGCTGCTAGACGCTTGCCCGAGGTTTACAGGTGCCTGACTGTAGTTGATTACTTTATAATCTTTATTGCTCCATAGCTGATTGTTCCTCTGCGTTTTGATTTTTAGGGATTGTGGTTCATCAAGAGTCTGTGTGTGCTACCTTCGGAAGTGGCTTAAGCAGCACTTGTATTGTAGACGTTGGGGACCAGAAGACAAGTGTGTGCTGCGTGGAGGATGGGGTGTCTCATCGGAACACTCGGTAAGGAACTTGGGAGGTAGCATTCCTTCCTCCCCTCCCCTCACAGGCTGTTCAGTTCATCACGGAATTATTTATGAGAAATTACATGTTCAAAAGTCTGCATATAGCAAACCAGCAAATTGTGGAAATGCGCATTCTAGTAATGCTAAAAACAGATGAATTTTGCCTTTATTGGAACTTTCTAATATGAACTCACCTCAGTAGCTCCTAAAAGTTCTGGTATGTGTTTTGTGATTTCCACAAAGGAAGCATAAATGTTAGCCCTTGTCTTTCATTGTGATCTACTATAGCAGAACTAATTACACACACAGAAAAGGTAGTCAGGCAAGTCATGTAGAAGAAAACAGATTTCTCAGCTGTGAATTCTCTGAGCATTTACGTTTCTTGTCACAGTTGTGTTCAGTTAGTGATGAATAACTTTATGGTGACTGTCTTCTCATGATATCATCACTGATTCATAAGTTAATGAGTAACTAACAGGAGCAGGTTTGCTCCATGTCTCCTGAGACATCTTGACACAGATAATGTGTATCTACTTAGGTAATGCCTATCTGGGTTCTGTGTAGCATTTTGTGGTGGTCTCAAGATGGCTTTTTCTCTCCCTCCCATTAGGTAGTCTAAATGTATAGAACAAATCTGAAAGAGGGTTCAAGCAGTTCATGAGGTTAATCTACTGCCTCACAACCCAATTTACAGTGCATTCTAAAACCCAGTGTGTTATTTGGATCACCCATTGTTTGGATTATCTAATGCCATTGATTCTCAAAGTGTGGAGAGAATGCTGGCCCCCAGTCTCTTCCTAGTATTTCAGGGATCCTCCCAAATCATAGAAACCTTCAGTTAATACACAGTTTTCTATGAGCCTTTCTGTCATAAGTTTGTCTTATCAGTACCTGCTAACCTTATATGCTTGTGAATGGGGAGAGCCAAACAGCTGTCCTATGGTGAGTATACATTGACTTGAAAATGAGCTGGGTTTAATAGTGTATTCTTTGTTTTTAATCTGTAATACATTTTTGCACACGGTACAACTTCTTGTTGACCCATTACTGGTTTTGGCTAAATTTCCCTTTCTCTTTTCCATCTTTCCATTCTATCCTTTGATTCAGTTCTTCCCTCCTACCCCCTTTGGTAGTGGTAGTTCTGGGGCTTGAACCCAGGCCCTTCCTCTGAGCTACATCTCCAGCCCTTTTCTTATTTTCAAATTTTGAGACAAGATCCCACTAAGTTGCTAAGTTACCCAGGTTAGGTTTGAACTTGTGATCCTTCTGTCTCAAGCTCCCAGAATACTGGGGTTACAAGTGTGTGCCACCACGTCTCATTCTTTTCATTCAGATCTTAAGAAACATTTATTAAAACTTGCTGGGGGCCGGGCATGGTGGCTCATGCCTGTCATCCCAGCACTCGGGAGGCTGAGGCAGGAGGATTGCTGTGAGTTCAAGACCAGCCTGAGCTACATGGTGAGTTCCAGGTCAGTCTCACTACATAGTGAAACCCTGTCTCAAAAAACCAAAAAAAAAAAAAACTTGCTGGGTTTTACTCTGCCTAATGGAGTTACTGAAACACCTTTGCATTTTTTTTTTTTTTTTAAGTACTGGGGATCGACTCAGGCCCTTGTGCTTGCGAGGCAGGCGGCAGAACCACTGAGCTAAATCCCCGGCCCATGCAGCTTCTTGACTCACAGATTAACCATCTGCTTTTCTCTCAACTTTAGGCTCTGTCTAGCATATGGGGGATCTGATGTGTCAAGATGTTTTTACTGGCTCATGCAGCGAGCTGGGTTCCCTTATAGAGAATGCCAGTTAACAAATAAAATGGATTGCCTTCTACTCCAGCACCTTAAAGAAACATTCTGTCATTTAGATCAGGTGGGAACAAAATAGTATTGCTGACTATTTTTGCTTTTGGGAGAATATTTAAACAATATCATGCTGCTCTTTGTAACCCAAGTTAATAGAGCCTTGAAGCTGAAGCTCTTTTGGTATGATTGTGTTGGTAAGGATGTGTCTGAGGCACAGGAAAAGAACTTGTTTTTTTTAATTTAATTAAAAAAAAATTTTTTTTGGCACTGGGGATCAAACTCAGGTCCTTGCGCTTGCAAGGCAGGCGGTGGAACCACTGAGCTAAATCCCTGGCCCAAGAACTTGTTTTAATAGGAAAGAGTTTAGCAAATTTCCCTCTTTGTATTAGTCTGATTTTATCATAAAGTATGAAGATAAAACTTAGGTTTAGCAAATACAACAGATAAGTACGTGGGAACAGATATTTAATTAAATGTTAAAACTTGAAGCACTTTCTTAATATTGTGAATAGTCACTAGTCACATCTTTTTTATTCCTGTCTTTTTTATTTTTGCTTTTAGACTTTTTAAAAACGTTTTTTTCAGGCAGTAAAATTCTAAATGTTAAAAATTTGAGAAATAAAAAGTGTTAAAAAAAGTAAAATAAAAAAGTTAAATTTTGCAATTATTGAGGGAGTGTATTGATTGTGGTCATTATTTGTATGAATGTATACCAATAGAAAAATGAAAATTGCAAGTGCTTGAAATTTTAGAAATATGAAATAAGGAAGCAAAGTGCAGTTGAACTTGTCTTACTAAGTTACAGTGAGTGTGGTACAGAGTTGTAAGATGGCCTTTTATGTGTGCGATTTAGATGATGGAGAGGCTTATGCATAATTTGAGGCGTTTACATTCATTTTTGCTGATTTACTGACAGCATCTTTTCCTGGAATCAGGACATCTCTGGGCTTCAGGACCATGAATTTCAGATTCGACATCCAGATTCTCCTGCCTTGCTTTACCAGTTTCGATTAGGAGATGAAAAGCTCCAGGTAACAGCATAGGTGTATATTTCCATAGGTAGCAAAGTGGTAAGATTTGGTCAGACCAAGAGACAGTGTGCTGTACAAACTGAGACTCTTGTGAGGTCAGAATATGGACTGTTTGCAGGTCAACCCCTAATGAACATTCAGCCTATGATAGAGTACAACTTAGATGGTCCTTAAGGACCGTGTTTTCAATTAGTCAGAATGTGATGTGTAATGTGTTGTTAGGGAAAGAGGCACCGCTTTTATTAGGACGTTATAAAGTAGATTATGAGGCACTTACTTCACATGAGCTTTGCGATGTCTCTCACTTGGTGTCATTTCACCTGTTCAGTTGGCTGAGTGGATTTTCTGACCTGTCGTGCTGCCTGGTCTCACTTAGAGGACTGGATCTGCCCATTTCATTGGAAGATTAAGATTTAGTTAATCTATTTGTTTCAGTAAGCTGTGTCTGTTCTTTTCCTGATGACTCTTTCCCTCTGTGTGTAGGCTCCAATGGCTTTATTTTACCCAGCCACTTTTGGAATTGTTGGACAGAAAATGACAACCTTGCAGCACAGATCCCAAGGTGATCCTGAGGATCCTCATGATGAACATTACCTACTGGCCACGCAAAGCAAGCAGGAACAGGTCTGCAGCAATTCTGGTGGGAGAGAAGAGTTTTTTTTTCTGAAGGAGAACCATGCCCAGTCTTGATAGATCATTGCCACCTCTGCAGCCTTCCTCAGGCTAATCCTGATACTGTGTTTATGTTTGCTTCTTCAGTTTTGTGCTACTGCGCTTTGAACCCAGGACCATTGAACTATATCCCCAGGCCTTTTTAAAAAACATCTTGACACAGAGTCTTGCTAAGTTGCCCAGGCTGGGCTCAAACTTTCCATCTCCCATTCTTGTTTCTGCCTCCCCAGAATGCTGGAATTATGGGCATCTGCCACCACAGCTAACTCCATTTTTATTTTTATTTATTTTTATTTTTGGAGACAGGGTCTTGCTACGCTGTTCAGGCTGGCCTTGAAATCACTATGTAGCCCAGGTTGGCCTCAGACTTCTAGCTCTCCTTCCCGCCTCAGCCTCCTCTTGAGTACTGGAACTATAGGTGTGCACCACCATACCTGGCTCACTGTTCCATTTTTAGAATAATAGATGAAATGAGTGAATTTAAAACTGGATGGCAGATTTCTTCCTTCAGTTGACACAAGTTTTTTGAATGCCAGTCCACACAATTGAAAGTGAGCTTTATGAAAGCATTTTCTTTTTCTTTGCTTTTTTGAACTGGAAAGTCATTCTTTAATGAGACTGATACAAAAGAGGGTGGAAAAATGGGCAACTCCTCTACAAAAATGAAAGCACTTTCTTTTGGCATATATTATTTGTTTATCTGCCTGCTTCTGAGTATTTATCCAATAGTATTTTCAGTACAGTCTTACCTACTCTGTAATTATAAGGTGAAAGGTATGTGACAGGCAGAAAGCTGAATTTTTTTCCACAGCTAGGTTTGCTAACAGGATCTCTACTGTAAGAGCATGAATTAAAGCTTTTATTTGCTAGTGAAATGTCAGCAGCTTATGATGGAGAGTAGATGAGGGCTGGAAACCTTTTCTAGTCTTTGTTCCTACCCCAGAGGCAAGCATGGGGTAGTAGTTAGGATCTGAAAATGAGGATTCCATGATAGCCAGTTGGCACATGGGTCCCACAGAAATGTTTCACTTTAACACTCTCTTGTAAGGAAGAAAGTCTGTCTGCATCGACGTTTCAGTTTTAAAACGCACCGGGTGGTGACGAGGTTCTGTCAGAGACTGCTTTGAGTTTTCCAGAACCACTTCATCCTGCCACTCCTAGCTCCTAGGAGGTGCATGCTAGGCAGCTCTGTGCATGCTCTCTTGTCCTAGTGATACGTAGTGATGGGCCAGAGGGGTGGGATCCAGAGAGACAACAGTGTTCTCCTGAAGTAATACCATTGATGCCATTATTGCCTTTGATTGATTTATAGTCTGCAAAAGCTACTGCTGACCGAAAGTCTGCATCCAAACCCATTGGATTTGAAGGGGATCTTCGAGGCCAGTCTTCTGATCTTCCAGAAAGACTTCATTCCCAGGAGGTGGACTTGGGGTCCTCCCAGGGAGACTGCCTGATGGCCGGCAACGACTCTGAGGAGGCTCTCACTGCTTTGATGTCCAGGAAGACTGCCATCTCGCTGTTTGAAGGGAAAGCCCTGGGCCTTGATAAAGCCATCCTTCACAGCATAGACTGCTGTTGTAAGCACATCTGAGGAGACTAGGGGATAGTAATGAAATGAGGTCACGGTAGAACGAATTGGTCCAGCCTAGGGTGTATTTGAGCATTGTAGTATATTCATCAAAAAACTACTGAGCACCTGCTCTCTGCTTCCCTTGCCAGATGCAGGGAAACAGTAATGAGATAGAATTGGCCTTATAGCCTAGAGAAAGACATCAAAACAAATTACCACACAAATGTGAAATTACAACTATAGTGGGTGCTACAGAGTTAAACTAAAGGGTCCTGACTGAGAGCTTCTGATTGACAGATTCAGTGAGGCAAGTTTTTACTTAATGCTGGAGAAGGTATGGAAGGTAGGAGGCACGGGAGGCTCTTAAATAAGCCATGTAAGGGACTTATGGTATGAGGGGGGATAGTCACGGATCAGGTGGCATTCCAGGCGGAGGAAGAAGTGTGAAGGCCGTTGTGGCCGGGAAGCAGGGTGTGGGGATGAGGTTAAGAGCCGGCGAGGACCATACACTGGACCTTAGGGGCTGCCTTGCAGGATTTGGTCCTGATCTTGCCGGGTGCGAAATGTGGAGGGTAGGGCAGCAGCATTCTCATGTGTGTCTTGCAGGGTTCCTCTGGTTGCAGGGTGGAGGGTGGAGGGAGATCTTCGAGGTGCTTGTGGCAGTTGTATAAATAAGAGATGACGGTGGCTCTCCTGGAGTGTTGGTGGGTGGACAGAAGGAATTTCACTGTCTCTTTCAGCATCTGATGATACCAAAAAGAAGATGTACAGCTCCATCCTGGTGGTGGGAGGTGGTTTGATGTTCCACAAAGCACAAGAATTCCTGCAGCACAGAATTCTTAACAAAATGCCTCCTTCATTCAGGCGAATTATTGAAAATGTAGATGTGATCACAAGGCCTAAGGTTTGTTGTTTCATGATGTAGGTTGGACTATGTGAAAATAAAAGGAGCATTAGTTATTTCTAATTGTGATGTATGTGGACAGATAAAATCCTGAGAGGCATGGCTTGTGTCTTAAGTCCTTGAGGGCCTGGGGAAGTGGAAAAATTACTTTCAACAGGTCATATATGTGGCAGAATGTGCTGGGGGTGGCTTCTGGGACAGTCAGGACAGCTCCATTTTTATCTCAGTTGTAATGAGCTTCTGTTGCTCCCTGGACTTGAGATCTTTAAGGATCTTTTTTGCCTTGAGCTATCTTGACACAAACCCAAAAACTTAGAAATAGATCATGTGTGTATTTCATTAAATCTCACTACAATTCTTGGCAATGTTCTTATTTTAACATATGTGGATATTTAATATTGTGGTGATTCATTCATTCATTTATTTAGGTACTCGGGATTGAACCCGGGGCCCTCACACTGAGCGACATCCCCAATTAGTGTTTTGTATTTTCAGATAGGGTGGGACTAAGTTGCGCAGGTGGGACTCAAACTTGAGATCCTCCTGTCCCAGTCTTCTAAGTGCTAGAATTACAGACATGCACCACTGTGCCCAGCCAGTGGGGATGTATTCCATACAGACATCAAGATTATTTTATGTGCTCCTGCCTGTAGCAACTATTTGTAGTAAAGAGGAACATACTCAGTAATAAAAATGAAGCTGCTTTTGTTGGTTGAAAGAGATCTGTTTGTGAGCCCTGCTATCTTTAATGCCAGTGGAAAATCTGGTTTATTACTGACTCAGCAAGTGTTCCTCCCAGCTGAAGTAAATGCTGAAATAGTTTTATCTGCTCATGCTCAAGTAACTCTGTCACTTGTCTAGGACATGGATCCCCGGCTGATTGCGTGGAAAGGAGGGGCAGTGTTGGCATGTTTGGATACGACACAGGAACTGTGGATCTATCAGCGAGAATGGCAGCGCTTTGGCGTCCGCATGTTACGAGAACGCGCTGCTTTTGTGTGGTGAAGTGGGAAGGAAAAGCCACAGTTGAAGACCAGAAACAAGTCTCTTGGTATAAAAGACTTGAAGAATGTATATATTTTAATTTATTGAATTACATCCTTAATTTTCATAGAAAATAAATGAATTCCACTTTATGTTCAGGATATAACATTGGTTTGATATTATGTGTTTTCATAGTTGGGACATTTGAGGATAAATATGAACTTACTCTTCAGTTGTAAACTCTTCTGCCCCTTTGGGAGGGTTTCATAAACTCTCCAGTGATGTCAGATGTTGCTGTTGAATGCCCTCCTTGGTGAATATCGCTGGATAACCGTGGAGATCCCCAAGTAGAGATGTGGACCCTTGACTCACCCTGCCCACCTATAGGTTTGCTGGTTTCCATCCCAGAAGACTTGAGAATGCATCAGTAAGATGCAATAAAGAGATTAGGCAGAATTTTAGAAGTGTACACTCAGAAATAGAGGGCGGGCCCTCTAAGAGGAGAAGTACCCTTGAGCTGTGTATGTTTCTGGGGGATTTAGGAGCGGAAATCCTAGGAATTGAGGATCTATGCAAAAGGAGGTTCTGTTTACACATGAAGGGGGACAGCTCTGCAGGCGAAGTGTGATGGGCCACTCCAGGTGATACAGCCCTAGCCCATCTTTAATGGAGTGCCTGTTGTAGTCTATAAGGTGGATAAGACCCATTTGCAAGTAAAAGGGAATTTGTTTCTGCAAGGACTGTAGGGATTTTTGACTGGTTTGTCCTGAAGTTGCAGTTTTTATTAAAAGAACAGTGTTGAGATTAAAAATCGCCTTGTTTCCCTTTTACCTGTCACACTTTGCCTGTCCTTCCTCAGGGGAGCCTAGGTGGACTTCCAAGCCTCATCAGTGGGCAGCCTCAGGCAGCCACGAGGGTGTGACTTGTGAGAGCTGGCTGGTCCTGCCACATTCCCTCTTGTCTAGGACACAGCAGGTATCTGAGTTCTGTACACTTGTAGTGTGACTTGTGTGTCCTCATGGAATTCCAAACAGTAAAAAGTGTTGTGGTTATTTTTGGTTCTGCTTTTCAGTTTTCTGCTGGAGTACAAAAAAGATTGGGACCCATTCAGGTTTAGATTCCCAGAGGCACAGATTGAAGGCTGGGCTGCCTGGCTTTCCTTAACTGGACTTGCTCTCAGGTGGGTTTAGGTAAAGAAAACTGTTACTTGACCAAACAAAACAATACAACAGCTGAAAGGAAAATCTTGTTTCCTTCCTAAATAGAAATGATTTGGGAGGGTGAAGCAGGAGGATCAAAAGTCTGAATCACCTGGGCAACTTAGAGAGACCTGTCTCAAAAATTAAAAGGTCTGATTTGTGCATGCCTGTAATCCCAGCACTCTGGAGGCTGAGGCAGGAGGATCGCTGCAAGTTCGAGACCAGCCTGGGCTACACAGTGAGTTCCACAGGAGTCAACTACATAGTGAAACCCTGTCTCAAAAAATCAAAAAAGAATTAAAAGGTCTGGGTATGGCTCAGTACAAAGGTCTTGGGTTCAATTTTGAGTACTGCCCTCCAAAAGGGGGGGGTGGAGGAGAAAAGGCAGATGTTCGATTCATAGGAAGTTGGTGACTGGTCCAAGTTTTGACCTAACCATATCCATCTTTATCACCAGTACTTTTCCAAGCACAGTGAAAACCATCCGGATAACTTAGTGAGCCTTGCCACATTAAACATACTGCCTCAGCCATTACTAAGCATCTGCTTATGAAGCTGGATGTGCAGGTTCTCACTTTATGCTTCTTCATTTGGATTTTTATTTTATCCATAAGACAAATATCTGGAATGACATGACCCTGGAAAGATAATTTGCAAATAGATTTTTTTGTGTGACCTTTGCATAATAAAAAGATGCTTTTAGGAAAGTAGAATTGGAAGACTTAAAATTCAGTAGTGCCTCAGCTCATGAATTTAATGTTTCCATGATTCCAAGCTTGCAATTTGGCTGCAGTCAGAATCAAGGAATTATGTTCGTGAACCAAGGCATATTATAGACAGCTAAGTTAGATAAAAATATACAGTTAGAAATAAATCAGACACATATTTAAATACCACATTGTTTTTCTTGTGTGAGAAACCAAAAGGGTAAATAATGACTAAAATGGATGATAGAAACTGGGAAGTAGAAAAAGTGTTCAGATGGGAGGGGGGATGGGGAAGGGAACAGAGGGAAAAGGAAAAAAATAAAGCTTTGGTAAATGAGGGGAAGAGGGTTGAAGGGAGGGAAAGGAAATGGGGGGGGAAAGAATCAAGATATGGACAGGTAAAAATTTCCCTATGATGAGTGATCATTATCAAAAGTATACTGATAAATTAATTTTTAAAAACATAGTGAAAGGTGGAGACATCAAAATTGTGGCTGGAGGCACATCTGAGGAAGGCAAGGCCTTGAGATTAAAATCACAATGGCTATACTCGTTTTCCTAAAGGATGAATGAAAACTTGAGATTATACTGTAATTGGTACCACCCAGTCCATTAAGTCCGGACATGCATCTCACCTGGATGGGTCACCAGAATATCCCGGATTGTCCCTTCCCCAAAATGTTCCTGTTTTAGAAGTCACAGATAAGCCAAGATTAATGATGTTATCCATATCCCCTTGTGGAAGTGCCCTGCTTTCCTATTAGATCAATATTAGCTAAGTGGCTATAATTGTAATCTTTGGTTGATTAGTCTGACCCACATTGTACCCACCTCGAGATTTTGCCCTATCTCACATTCTTGGAGAAATAACTCGGGGGCCGGGGATTTAGCTCAGTGGTTTCACTGACTGCTTCACAAGCACAAGGACCCGAGTTTGATCCCTGATACCAAAAAAAAAAAAAAATTTACATGAGAAATAACTTGGTAGCACCTACTTTCTGGAGCCTGCTTCTTTCTCGGAACTCTCAAATCTTTCCTACTATCTTTTTTTTTTTTTTTTGTATGGGGATCAAACTCAGGACCTTGTGCTTGCAAGGCAAGCATGGTGCCACTGAACTAAATCTCTGGCCCCAATCTTTCCTACTCCTAATATCCTTTCTTCCTTGGAATTCATTTTTCAATTTTGGGGAACATGAATTCGGCACATCTGACACCTAGCAGGTTGGGAGTTGTATTTCCCCTATATCAGTATCAGACATCTCTACATTCTGTCACTCTGGTAGTTTGTTTTTTATTTAAGTAAACCAGTATTACTAACTTATAAAAAGAACCATTATTTTGAGAAAGCCAACTTTCAACTTAAGAATTTTTAATATAAATGAATGATTATGTAATAATTTGAGAACTGAGTAATTTCTAATAGATAAATGGTTTCATTTAAAGGTCACTTGTGCAAAAGTCAAGACATGAATCTAATTTGGAGCAGGAAGATCTTATGCAAATACCAAAACTATACAGTGGTTACACACAGGTCCTTCTTGTTGGTCCAGCATTGCTATTCCCTAACCCATATCCTTTTTGTGGTACAAGGGAATGAATCCAGGGCCTCTGCTGAAGGCTATATACCCAGCTTCTTTTTTAGTTTTTCATTTACTGTGCAAGGCATGGACTAAGGCTAGACATCTGGCTGGAAGATGGTGTTACATTATCTAAATGACTCATCTACAGTTGTTACTATTCTTGTCTTCAAGTATAAAGTTGGTTTAGCTTTGTAATTATAAATTTAGTTTTAATTGCTTAGTAATATTATAGTACTGTATATATAGTAATGTTTGTAACTTATTTTGTTTGTTTGAGACAGGGTCTTGCTATGTATTCCATGCTGGCCTTGAACTCACGGTGATCCTCCTCACAGCCTTCCAAGTGCTGACATTACCAGCATGCGCCATCACATCAGCTTGTTTATGACAGTTTTATGGGAGAACATTTTTAATCAGTATTCTGAGGCATATCTGTTCAGTTATGATTGTCCCTAGAAGCATTCTATATGGTAAACTTCAGGATTGTCACAAAGGCTTTTCCCCTGGAATTGTTAGGCTTTGAATCCTCCCTCTTTTCCTGGGTAGGCTACAAGGTGTAGCAGCTGCTGTGGCAGGCTCGTGACCGTTTCCCTGGTGACATGTGCTGCACGACGTGGAGTTCAGTGCAGAGAGCAGCGGCTTCCTTCATGAGGCAGTACTTGGGGCAGATGCGGAGAGCACTGTAATCATCCTTGGGATCCGCCCCTCTGAAGTAGACCACTATGTATTTGTGCAGATGAGTCTGGCTACTTAGATCACTGCAGAAAAGGTTAAAGGCAAGGGGGAACAGGTCATGAGAGTTCCCACTGGGGCTGCCCTCGCTCTGGGCGCAGGTACCATCGCACTTAGTACTGACATCATTGGAAAGGAGGAAGATCACTTTATCTGCTGCTTTCTTCTTGGTGGTTAGCCACTGCACCGGACCCATCTCAGCTATTTTCTTTTTCTGCCACTGTTCAAGGATGACCTCACTTCTGCAGTGGTTTTGAAGAAATTCAGTGAAGTAGCAAACTGTGTGATGGAAACATACTTCAGGTGGGTAAACCACAAGAACCTTAATGAGGGGCAGTAGCGTGGTGGTAGGAAAGGAAGCTTTCTTGATCCTTTCTGTGGGGTGAGAAAAGCATTTGTTACCTGCATATAGTTTCACTCTAAAATGATTCCTACTGCAAAATGGCAGAGGAGCATCAGGAAAAATCACCCCAATAGTCCTTTTGGACATGGCGCCTGAAGCACACTGATGCCTAAACTTAAAAAAGGTTTTAATGGGCTGGGGTGTAGCTCAGTGGTGAAGCAATGCCCTAAAATACATGAGATCTTGGGTGCACTCCCCAGTCCTGCCAAAAAGAAAAGAAAAAACAAAAGTAAACAAGGTTTAAAAGATATGTTTTCTGCCAGGAATTTGGCTTAGTGGTTCCACCGCCTGCCTCACAAGTGGGAGGGCCTGAGTTGGATCACCAGTACCACAAAAAAAAGTCAAAAGATACATTTTCTAAGTCCCTGTTATGAAATCAGTCCTTTCAGTCAAACTTTATCTTTCAAATAAAGCCATAGAAACTTTAGGTTGAATGTACTTTGAGGTGGGCAGCTGTGACTTTACTTTTAGTGCTGTCTAAAGGACATTGACCTCTGTGCTTCACCTTTGAGTTTGGCTGTCTGTGCTTGTTTATACCATCTGCTACCTGCAGGTGGTAGAGTTTCTTTACAGTTCCATAAAGTTAAGGCCCTGAGACTTAACTGTAATTCTGTCTTATACCATGTTATAAAACAGGAAAATATTTGAAACTACTGTAGTACAGTTCAAACATCATCCCCTAAATATAACTGTTCCTGAGGCAAAAGGATCACATGGGTTTCTTGGCTTAGAAATAACATGGAGTTACTCTTGTGTCTACATCATCCCATGCAATACTAAGGGCGCATTTCTATTTCCTTTCCTGTTTGGAAGAGAGGTAGTCTGCAATGGATATGCCACTAGCTATGTGTACCCCCAGTTTTTGTCTGTCTTTATTCCTTTGGGGAAGGCACTAGGAATTGAACCCAGGGCCTTCACCCTGAGCTTCATACCCAGACCCAGACCTTCTTATTTTTTGAGACAGGGTCTCACTGACTCACTACATGTAGCCTAGGCTGGGCTCAGGAGTGCACCACCATGCCGGGTGAGTTACCCTGATTTCTGTATCCAGATGCTCAGTGTTGTAGAATTGGCAGTGACCTTTCAGAATATATGAATTTAAGTGAATGTTGTTCTAATGTCTTAGAGCTACTTTTAAAAAAAATAACTAATAGAGTATTACAGGCGAAATGGGTTAGCCATCTTTTATCTGTTTCGTACTTGTAGAGCCCCCCCGCTTAGTAAAAATAAAACAGATGGTAGGTAGTTCCCAGATCTGCAGGACCTCACCCTGCTTTAGGCTAGCAGATGAGATGCAGTTGTTACCATACCAGGCTTTGTAGCAGCATGTTAAGGCACTAATCCCGGGAAATGCCAATATGGGATTGTCTCTCTTCCTTTCCAAATGCTCAGAATGTGGAGTTGGAGTTGTATCTCTGATGAAGCACTTGCCCGACATGCATGAGGCCCTGGGTTCCATTCTCACACACATGCTCACACACACGCGCGCACACACACACACACAAAGTGATTTCCTCATTAAGATATCTTTAAGATATAACCCTTACCATGTCTCCATATTAGATAGATCCCAACTGCCAGCATCCATGTAACCAGTAGAAGTAATAGGAGAGCTAGCCAGCCTCCCAGCATGCTTCTATCTAAACAAACAAACAAAACAAAGCGTATTCACCTTCAGTAAAACAAAACCATATTTATCTATTTCTTTTCTTTTCATTTTTTGAGACAGGGTCTTGCTGTGTAGCCCAGGCTGGCCTCAAACTTGGAACAGTCCTCCTGCTTCATTGTTTCCTCTTGTTTTGTCTAATTTTTTTACATATCTATTTGAAAATTAAGACTTTTACTCTGTATTTTATAAAACTTTAGGTCCCTTTAGAACAAGGGTCAGAAGATCTTTAAGGAGTGCAATGATCCGTGGTGTCTATGTCCCTTACTTGGTTCTCAACAGGATAAAGACCCAGCAAGTTGTCCTCCAAGATCTCTTTGGTCTTTGACTCCTTACCTAAGCATTCACTGTGGAACCAGAGTTTACATTTGGCTTCTTATTCTTGGTTCTTTGAGGAATCACCCCCATTCTGGGTGCATTTTGAAAAGCAGTTTAACTAGACCGATGTGAGAAATGTGCCTTTCCTTCTTGGGAACCCTAAGGAGTAGGCAGGCTCAGGCACATCACCACGCTCAGGACTCAGTAAAGATACTGGGTCTACACAGTGGTTAGGATTGTTAGGTACCGAGATTCCTTCAGTTTGTTTAGCTGAGATTCTCAAGAATAATACCTTCCATCTTTTGACCTAGGCTACTTTATAATTTAAGAAACGACGCATCTCTAAATCTGGTGACATTTTCCAGAACCTGCCACTCTCATGCACTAGTGGGGTGTCTTTTCGTGCCTGTATTCCTGATTTGTTACCCAAGTGTTGGCATGTGACCACATGTATGGTAGCAGGTAGGCCCAGGCTGCTGAGGATCAGCATGCAGTGGAGTATTCGTTCCCTCTGACTCTGTCTGTTGTAGACTTCTCAGCGGATCCTTGGAGTGCTTTCAACATCTGTTTTGTACTGTTCAGTTTTCCCTGTCTGTATATATCCTGTTTTCATAAAGGATCAGGAGTGGTTTTATAAGTAAATGTTTTGTTCTTAGATCATGGGCTTTCTGGGATAGCGCTGGCATCTTTCTGTGCACACTAATTCAGTGTACACAGGCAGGAAACCCTCACACTGCCCTCAGACACACCCTGTTACATACTGAATGGGGACAGTGACAGATTCATCATGTTCTGACCTTTTTGATCATCCTGTGATAATGACAGGACTTACTTTTATCTGGAGGAAACGGGACACCTGGCTGTGGGCAAAGCATGACAATTCCTTTGCGTCGGATGCAGTCATTGCCACACGAATGGAAATAAGGTATCAACTGAGGAAAAATGAGAGGCTCAGAAATTTTCACATTGTGCTTCAGACAAAAGCTCAACAGTATTCCTGCTTCTACCACAACCTCCTCTAAGCATTTTCATGGACATTTTCCCTTTGGTTACACTTGTGGAGCAAAGCCCTAAAAATCCAACCCAGTGATCCAAGACTGAAATACCATCCAAGACTCCAGGATTGTGAACCTCAACTTTGTGTGTGCTTCTAACATTCTGGTTTCCTTATCTAGAAAGCTGGGTTATATCCTAACATATATGCAAATATTTCCTCCATGGTTACAGAACTCTGGGGCTCTTACTAACTTCAGTCAGGGCTTTATGACAGGCAGGTCCCTGGCACTAGGAGTCTGTGGTTCCCTGGAAGAGGCATGGATAATATATTTCCAAGGTCTGCTTCCTTTGGCCTGTCTGAACACTGCCTTTATGTTCAGGAAGAAAAAACAGGAACTCCTTACTCTCTGTTATGGTTGAGTCACACTGGGTTCCTCTGTGCCCCCATACTGTAAACTCAATAGTTGCAGGAGACCTGAGAGCATCTATTGATCCAACTTCTGTTTCCACCTGGGGCTGACACCCTGGAAGGACAGGCAGTTGCCCTCCAGATTTCATACATTACTCTGGAACCTGCAACTTTTAACTTCAGATCTTTGCAACTTCATTTTGCAATTAAAACTTGGTTTGGGGAAATAAAATGGTTCTACCTCGGTATTGCTCTGAGGGTCTGTGACAGAAAGTGGAAATAAAAGCACTTTGGAAAGTCATTTGCCACTAATCTAAGCAGAAGGTACCATGACTGCAAGGTCAGCTTCCTGAAGAGTACAGCAGACAGGACTTTTGCCAAAAGTGAACTTGAGAGAACTAAATCATCTATAAAAGCACTCACCAAAAGCATTTAACAGTGGAATGATCTTCGAGTATCTCTCCCCTCCCCAAAGCATCTTGTTAAACTTACCTGAACCATAGCACCTTCACTTTCCCCTGTCACCAGAATGACTACAGAAATTCTTTTTAATTTGTTCTGTAAATGAATGAGATGGAATCAAGAATTACAAATCATAAAAGTGACTGCTCATAATGGAGAAGCCACACTTTCCAAACTGACTTTCAGTTCACTAGACTATCTGTGAATAAAGATTTATTTCATACTTCTGAAATGTCTATTTTAGAAACCAACTTCAGTTGGTTTTAGATTCATAATGACATATACTCTAGGGTAGCATAAGAATTTGTTCTTATCTGATGAATTAATCAAACCAGCCCAGTACATTCTGACGATACACGGCACTGTGTGCTCTCAAGAGAGCCTATTCTGAGAACCCTAAAGTGTCCACTTTCTCCTGCCACAAAGTAAGGAAGATGGAGGTTGAAGACGAGAGAATGAAGTGGAAAAGTACCTCTGGCACATTAGAAAGTCCAATTATAGTGTCACGTTGGATAAGAACCATGTATCTGTTTCCAAGGGGGCTGGTTGTAAAATTCACTTCGACCATCTTCTCATTCTTCTTACAAGCAGTAATGTTGGGATCCCACAGACTTCCTATGAAGTAAGAAAGAACCATGTGGATGAACATGATAACTTTTCCTTCATTTAAGTCCTTTATAAGTCCCCAAAGAGGTTTTATAAAAACAATCCAAGTTCTCAGACATACACCCAAGAGCCAGGGACTCCACTACACAGTGCCCTTTCCAGCATTGCTCCCAGAGTCTCAAAGTACCTGCTGCCCAAGTAAGTTTAGGACTCTTCCCCCCATTATCACTGTTTTGCTAAAAATAGCTTCCCAGAGCTGAGGGTGGTTGGGGATAGATCAGATTTTAATACTTTTATTTTTAACCTGTAATCTAAATTAAGGACTAGGGCCAGTAATTTCTCCTTCACAGAATGTGAGAAGGCAGCTACAGGTTAGGAGATGTGTGAGATTATGGCAGAAGTGAATGTGGGATCGAGACTACAACCGTTAGAATATTCTGGATTCTAGGAGCTTCATCCATGACAGCATTCTGTCAGCTTTACTGAATGCAAAGAAGGCAGGAAATGCCTCACAGTTCAGAGGATATCCTGATAGGTCGACCTTGTCAGAACAAAGTCTTTTGTTTTGTCGATGTGACTTGCAAATAAGGACTAGGTTAATTTCCAGGAACATAATATATAATAGCACAAAGTTTCTTCCCCACAGAGGAGACCATTTCAGGCCCTGCCTTGGAAGTGTCTTCATAAGTTCATCCTAGGATGGTTTTTTAGGCCTTCAGACCTCATACCCCAGTGCTTCTATACTCCTACAGCTCCATCTTGGTGGGAGAGGAAGCCCTGTCCTCCAAGTCAGTCTCTAGTAAGAATAGCACATGTAGCTATCTAATGGTATGTAGAATAAAGGGTCCCCAAATCCCTAAAAGATCAGGACTCACCCCCCAAATACAACTCACGTTATTAGCACCCCAAGACTATATTGCCCAGAAATGCACATAAAACCCTTTGGAAATTGGTCACTGGGGTGATTATCTTAAATAGGCTATTTCACAAGTCAAAGGTAGGGTTAGGATTCTAGGTCTAGCAGGGGAGAAGAGATCCTCTTTAAGGGCACAGGTTGAGAACATGCTTCTAGGTCATTACTTCAACTAAAACCCACCCTGAACGCTTGCTAATCCAAAGATTCCCACTGCCCCAACAACCACAGGCAGGGGTGCTGGTGAAAGGGCTCAGAGAACTCCCGTACAATCAGGAAAGCCCTCCGATTGGCACCACCACAAGTGCAGTTTGAGCTGAAATGTTAAGTAGTTTAGGGGGCCGGGGGGGGGTGGTTTCATGTGGCCCCACTGCATAAACTTACTAGTCTGTCCTTCACTGGAAGGGGCCACGTGCCGCAAGGAGCAAAGTGACGACCAGGGACTTGGAGCCCTGGTGCTTCTGCCTGGGTACTGAGCAGTTTGGATAAATCCTCACTTGAAGCCTCAGTTTGTTCATCTATCAAAAGATAGAGCTGGGTATGGTAGTGCACGCCTATAATCCCAGCGCTCTGAGAGGCTGGGGATAAACCCAAGACCCTGTCTGAACAGAAGAAATAAAATGGGCTGGGAATGTAGCTTCGTGGGAAGAATCCCAGTACCCTGCCTGGGTACTGAGCAGTTTGGATAAATCCTCACTTGAAGCCTCAGTTTGTTCATCTATCAAAAGATAGAGCTGGGTATGGTAGTGCACGCCTATAATCCCAGCGCTCTGAGAGGCTGGGGATAAACCCAAGACCCTGTCTGAACAGAAGAAATAAAATGGGCTGGGAATGTAGCTTCGTGGGAAGAATCCCAGTACCCCAGCACTTTTTCTTGTATTTCATTATGTGGTCTAGGCAGCCTGGAAATTTGAGTAAAAGTTTTTACACTTTTGAAAAAGGTTATTTCTGTTCTATTCCCTTGTCAACAAGGACAGAAGCACGCATATACATACATATCCCACATAATTAACTAGAAATCTAAATACGGTACCATTTATAGTAAAATTTTGCTGTTAACATCGTCTGCTGTGGAATGTGACCAGCTTCTAAGTACTACCTTTATCAAAACAGAATCAGTGATTAAGAAGAGAACACCCAAAAGCCCATCATTCTTTAAAATTGAAGTTTGATAATACATAGGTTCCACCCCTTACAGACATGAGGCTTCCCCACCTGGAAGCCTAGCAGGCAGCACACTAACCTAGGGACAAAGGTACCCTCACCAGTGACCTCACGTGCCTGACAGGGTACAGTGAGAAAGGCACAACATCCCTGCAGGATTCTTCCCCAATCCCATATCCCAGGTCTAATAATGAGATAAGTATCAGACAAATCCGAATTGTGGTCATTCTACAAGATGCCTGGTTGAACTCAAGACTATCAAGGTCATGGAAAATAAAGCCTACGAAAATGTTACCAGATGAGATCAAGGAAACAAAGGACTAAATGTAACCGGACAAAAAAGAAGCTATTAATAAAAAAGTAAAACCCAAATAAAACCTGGAGTTAGCATAAGTGAACAAATGTTGATTTTTTAGGTTTGACACCAATATTGTACGATGGTAACAGAGAAATTGGTGCGAGGTGAAAGCTATAGTATCTTTGCAATCTTTCTGTAAATCTAAAATTACCAAAAAAAAAAAAAAAAACCCTGAAAAAAAGCCTATTTAAAAACAATGAAAGAGCTGGAGCTGGGGTTGCAGCTCCATGGTAGAATGCCTGCCTAGCATGCAATAAGGCCATGTGTTCAATCCTCAGCACTACACAAAAGGAAAAAATTAGGTTTAGTTCCATCCAGAAAGCTGGCAATTACTGTGTAAGTGGTGTAGCACCAAAAATACCCTGGATTGTCCAAGGGCATTGATCAAGAAGGACCAGAGATGTATTGGAGATGTAGCATAGGGGTAAAGTACTTACCTAGCATGTGTGAGGCCCTGAGTTAAAAAGAAACACACACACACACACACACACACACACACACACACACACACACACAAGCTGAATGTCAGCTTTCCTTTTCCTATGTGTACAACCCAGGGCAGGTGACTTAAGCTTTTATTTTTTCATTTGTAAGATGGGGCTATCCTATCCTCAGGCTGGTGAGGGCCAACTGCATGTCAAGTGTTCCACACAGTGCCTGACATGCAAGAATGTGCTTTGCCTACATTTGACTTGATTTAACCCTCACCACCCTGAAAGGAACCGTTGCTACTGTGTCCACATTACAGATGAGGAAACAGACTTTGCAAGGCCAAAGCCTTGTCTAGGGTTTCTTGACTTGTGAGTCAAAGCATAGACCCCCATATAGGTGTCCCAGCACAACAGAGAAAAACCAGAGCAGAGGTGGTTTACCTGGTGAGGTGAAGTTCACAGACAAAGAAGGGCTGTCGTCATTCATATTTGCACTGGGGATATTATGGGCCCCGATGAAATAGCATGTGCTCAGGGCCACAGGAAAGCCTATGTAGGAGAATGTCCACTGAAAAGCAAAATGAGGCATCTGAGTTCCCAACACACCGCACAGTGTGGCAACAGCTCCACTGGATGTTGCCCTTTTCCTTTGTAATTTTATCCCTTGTCCTACTGCTAAACCTTAGTTCTCTAGTCATTGTCTCCTTGGAAAATGGGCTCTCCACAATATGCAGGGGCAACTCACAGAATCAGAAAAGAATTTCCGAGCTAGGATATAAAATTAAGTTCCACTAACTGTACCATATACTTAAAAAGTACCAATAAACTCAGTTTAAAAAATTAAGTTCCACTTCCCTTACTTTCCCAATGGGAACACTGATGCCTAGAGATTCGGATTGGCCCAAAGCATGGAACAGGGAAGTAACCAGAACTGGGATGTGAATGAGGCATCTGGCTCTGTATCACAGCTGCTCAGACCAACCTGTTTGTGAAGCATGTGGTCCATGCTCCCCAGAAGACCCAGTCTTCAGTGACTGCCACATGCCTCATAGTACTTACTCTGCCACCAGAGGGTCTAGTCTGCCACTGGAAGGCCTCTGTGTAATTGCACCTCACACAGCTGTACCACTGGAAGTTGCTTTTGCCTGTCACACAGATCCTGGTGGCCTTCAACACTCGGATGCTGGCTGCACAGATAGTTAAAAGGGAGCTGTTTACTTAGCCCTTGCTATGTGGTTGACCTGATGAACTTCACATGCTTCATCTCAGTTCACATTCACAGCAGCACTGAAAAGGAGGTACTGTCATCCCAGCGTGCAAATGAAGTGAATGAGGTTAGGGAGTTTCAAGGAGCTCTGCCCACGCTTACAAAGCTCAACTGCAGCAGGTAGGAATTCAAATTCCAAAGCCTAGGATCTTCCTCACTGCTCAGCCTGAATTTCTCAGAATACCTGTGACTTATGCCACACCTGCAGTATCGTGGGTCTCAAGAGTAACAGGCCTACTTTGGGAATGCCACAAGGACCCCCACTAAAAGTGTCATCACCAAACCATGCCTGCGTTGACGGCTTCTTTCTCTGTGCCAATACTTCTTCCTGGAAAATCCTTTCCTTCTGGTTCCTGCCTCTCCCAAATCTTACTCCTTTAACCCACACCTTTTAATAGCCAACAGAGCTCCCTCTGCCAGGGATGGGACCAAAGCTTTATCGCATCATCTCACAAGAGTCTCCGCAGGACTCCTCTCCTGGACCTTGCTGCCGCACCCCTCACATGGAGCCCAGTTCCCTTCAAGGCTTGCCTTGATGCCGTCAGCATCTGCTTCTCCAACCCTCAGAACACGGTACTGATGGACTAGCCAGCTCACCTCTCTGCCTGGCACTCAAGGATTCCTTACTGGATCAAATTTAACTGAATTTTGCAGATGGAAACCACAGACCTGGGCATTAGGATTCCAGGACTAGCTCATCATGACAACCCACAAATTGCCTTGCAGTGTAATCTGGGGGAAATGCCAGGCCTTTCATGATACTATTTGGGAAGAAGCAACTTACCTAAACTGGTGCTTTTCCTAAATTGAGGGAATCAACTCTGGCCTTTATCTTTTTCCATGAAATATATCACATACAAAGAAGTACACAGACCAGCAGTGTACGGCTTATTGCATTTGCACGTTCATCAACCCGTACAACTCAGAAACCCCAGGAGTAGCCCTCAGTCACTCCCACCCCCGAAGTAATCAGCCCGACTTCCAACCACCAGATTAATTTTGTCATTTTTGTAATGTACCAGTGCAGGAATGCATTTAGACACAAACAAATCTTTGAACTCCAGAATCTGGCTTCTTATGTTTGATATCTATATTCTGTGTAGTTATAGATTGCTCATTCCTTTTCCTGTACTGGATTCCATTCTACTGTTGGGCATTTGGGTGCTTTTGGCCATTATGAAAAGTGCTGCTGTGAATGTCCTGGTATGTGGCTTTCAGTGCATGCATGTATAGATTTCGGTTGGGCACGCCTAGGGCACAGTTGCTGGGCCGTACAGCACTTCTGGTTCAGTAGACACTTGAGACCTTTGATTGATGTAAACTTACCATCTGCCCGGAGCACCCAGCTTATGTTCATCAAAACTGAATAGTCCTCTGCTGTAGCACTGGTTTTAACAAGTTCCACTCGGAGTTCCCTTAAGTCTCCTGGGGTCAGAGGATGCTGGACCATCCATTCTGGAGAAGGCCCTGGGAAAAGGCAAGAGTTCCCATGACACTCCCCTTCCAGGCCAGTCTGGGGCCATCCCCTCTAACTGATCCACACTGTCCATCCCCAGATCACATCTTCCTGCTAAGGCAGGCAAAATGTTTCAGTGTGGAGGACCAAGGAGAATTGAGGCCTAATTGGCCCCTCCATGAGCACGAAGGAGAAAGGCTGCACTCAAGGCTGATTGCATATTAGGGGAAAGTTAATACAGCCGAGATGAGGTCGAGTTACTGTGATTGCTTGTGCCTGTGTTTGGGTGAATAAAAGCAAGGTGAGCCAAGTGCCGGCGGCTCTCTGCCTGTCCACATGCAGAGCGGACTGCGTGGCTCTTTGTCAGGGAAGAAACGAAGTAGTGGGTCTAAGTCCCGAAACAAGGCCAGCCTGGTGAGTCACAGGTGGTGCCCCCTGGGAGTGGGCTTGGGACCAGAGTCACCTACAGTTGGCACCCCCAACAGGAACCTGAGACCTGGGTTGTTTCAGCACATTTCAGGTGTTGTTGCATTTATAACTGAGGCAGTCTTAAACTGCATGTTCTCGGCCTTGGCCCACAACACCCCACTTTCCCACCTCTAAGCCTTTGTGGCTGCCCATTTCTCCTCCAGCTCACCCTCCTTATTCACATTTCCTAGGCAGAAACCCACTTTCTTTGAATGCTACCATCTCTATTCTTTAAAACATCTGCTCCCTCTACCCAGGTGTGACTCCTTCCCGCAGCTCTGTCTCCCTCTGCACAGTGGCAGGCACTGATTTCCCTCTCACGGTGAGTCCCACCCTGCCCGTGCTGCCTGGACTGGCCAAGAAGCCATTTCAGACACCTCCTTATTTCCCCAGAGCTCTGCCTTGAGAATGTCAACCGCCTCAGCTAAAGCAGTGGTTCTCCTTGTGCCTGGTCCCATGACCCACTGCTGGATTCAGGCTTCGTGGTCCAGCTGTGCTTTCAATGTAATGCCCCAAATATTTGCTCCCTAAGGCACCTACCAGTTTCAGAGCCACACTGAATAGTCTGCAAGAAAGAAAGAAACCAAATGTCATGTTGAAGCTAGAAAGCCACAGTCTTTTATCTAATTGATCAAATTAGATAAATCGCCATGTTTTCCCCTTAAGTACATATACAAATGGCAAACTTTCAAAGAAAAAATGAGTTGGTTCTGTTTTCACAGCTTCGGGAAAACGAATCTGTACCCTTGTAGGCTACAGCGGACCATAGATTAGCCATCAGTATGCCTCATCTCCAGCCAGCCGATCCCCTCACTTGAAGACCAGGGCACTCTGGGCAGCCTTCGCTGCTATAAGCCCGAGATGAACTGGACTGTCAGGAGGTCCCTGCACACTTCAGTGTTTAGCTGCCAGATTTCAGAAAGTCTGGAGTGGTTATTGAGTTCCTCCAGATTAAGGATTGGCTATGTAAGAAAAGTAATAGAGGAAAGCGATGAATGTAGTCCACAGTATCTTCCCCAGGTTCTTTCACATACTCTCTTTCTAGCACAGGGCTTGCCTGAGCTATTTAGAAACTATGAACAACTGTGGCTTCATCGCGTCTCCTTTTAAAAACCCCTTTTTAAAAAAGTAAACCTGTATTGTCCATGTCTAAGGAAGACTAATACTAAATTCTTTGAAGTTAATTGCTCAGGTCTTCTCATAAGAGAAAAATTCAGTACTTTGATTTTGAAACAAGACACTGAATGTCAATTATTTAACCTTCAGGCAGCAGGCTACTCCGTGTAGTAAACCCACTAGCTCTGGAATCCGATCTTGCCAAGCCACCACATTTCCAAATACCTTGTGAGAGAGAAGGTAAGATTTTGGATGCTTTGAGTTGGTTGGGGTTTGGTGAAGTCATCAGTTATGCCATGGTCTTTGTAGAAGTAAGCTTGGAAGGGATACCCTCAGATACTATTTTTTAAACAAGCGGCCCTGGTAGGAGCTGACTTCTGGACAAAAGGGGTGAGACAAGTTTGAGGAAGGAGCAGCAGCTCTAAATTTGACAGAGTTCAAACCGTTGGCCTTACAGTGACTGCCACAAAGGCAACTACTTTTCTTCCTCTAGGGGAAAAATCAAGAGGGTCTCAGAAAAGAGAGCCAGGAGCTGAAGGCATCAGGACAGGCTGGGTGGTGCCTGACTTTCCATAACCATCAAAAAGTAACCACCACGCTTTTATGTTATATGTTCTGATAAGAAGGCAGGGAGATGATGCGCTTTTTCCTCTAATGATCCAGAAGATTCCTTTAATCATTCAAAGCACTGGGGAAGAAAGGAAGTCTACCTTCAGGAATCAGCGTGAAAGAAAGCAATGCAAAAGCGTCAAATGGTAGTGGAGCAAAAGTCCTGTACCCCAGCAGGTGGGCAGAGGACAAGCATTAATGAGCACCTGCTCATCTCGCAGAGGGAGGCTCTTCGCAGGCCGGGTGGTCATCAGGAGGCCTGGGTGGGCTAGGTACTACCCTTCTTATTACCGGTGAGATGCGGAGGGTAGGTGAGCAGAAATGACTGAACAAGAGCTCAGCGTGGCGGCTGCGGATGTAGCTCAGTGCCTATCACGGGTGAGAACCCTGGGTTCCATCTCCCACACGCAAAAATAGAGAAACGGAGCCCAGGGTACCTTCGCAACCAAGTCTGTCTGATTCCCACGTCCTGAACCAAGCAGCCTGACCCGGCCAGGCGGGGACGATGGTCTGATGGAGATCTGAGGCTCATCTGCTGACCCCGGGATGCAGACAGGACCCCTTCGCCTAGGCGTGGGCTGGCAGATTGAATGCAGCCAGGGTCAGGGCTCGAGGGGCGCACTCCGGGACAGGGCTTACCGGCTCTCCCGGCAAGGCGATCCTGCAGAGCGCGGCCAAGCTCAGCAGCACGAATGCCATGGCGTGACC